TTACACCTGCATTGAACCATGACATCTCTCCATCAATGCACTCGCTTCTCCAATACATGTCTCCTTCGTATTCCTCTTTGTAGTTCGCGTAATCTGGTGCCTACGGACAAAAAAAAAGAATCATACTTAGGACACCAACTATACAAAAAATGATACTTTAAAGAATCAGCTTAGCCAGATACTTCTCATACTGGCTTCTATGCAATAACTTCCTTTGCCTATTTACTATAAGACTCTAGTCCCTACCACTAATAGTGAATGTTGAAGAAAAAACACTCTTTAGCCTATGGTGATCTAAAATATTTGACAGACTTTAAATCGCAACATTACATGTCCATGTGGGTCATAGAAGCAGCAGACAAATGGATAAGAGCTCAAAGATAAAGGAGGAAAATGAGAGATTTCTATCTATCTCTTCAGTCTTAAACTGTGTCTAGCCACATGCCACATGAAGGAGACTGGTCCACTTCAATTCTTTAAAGGATTTTAATCTTCCTAAGACTACCAATAAACATATCACAATAGGGAGAGGAGATCCAAAAACCATCACAACATGTTATAGATTCACAAAACAATGCGTTCAAGAAAACTGTGAGACACTGAGAAGAAATAAGATTGTATAAGCAAATGCTATATCATGAAAAAATGAAGAACGAATTTAGATAATGATTACCTGAAAACCAAGCTCAGAGGAGATGTTTTTCTGAGACTCTGCGGTTTCATACTCGGGAATTGAATCCAATGCCATTCTTCTACTCTGCTTCTTTTTCAAACCAAGTTGCATAGTCTTGGTTAAGATGATGGGTGTTCCTGAGAAGCAACCAGTGACATAGACCTCGATAGTTGGCAATGGGGACGATAACTCTTGACCGTTTATGCTCTTCTCCTTTAAGAAACCAGACCCTGAAGTGACCTCAGCCTCGCAATTCATATTCCATCGATTCTTTGATTCCCCCGTGAAACCATTACTATCAGACATCTCAAGAGTTCCAGACAAGACTAGCTCGTTCCTATCATAAACCTCAAACTTAACGCTACCCGTTAACCTGATATTATCTGTGCTAACATAAGTAGCTTCTTCGGATTTCTTATCAAGCCGATCCCTCCTAAGCTGTGAAGAACAACCTTCTGAGTACATACTCATTCTAACACCGTTTATCTCCAAAAGCGTATCAGGATCCAGAGGAATGTGATTGATGGTGAGGACTTCAGGTGTCGAATCTTCCACCAAGAAATTGCTTATCCTCACATAGAACACTCTCAAATCCAACCAGGGTGATGAGATTCTGGAGCTGTGCTGGTTACTATAGTTATGGTATCTAGATATCCGAAAGGCTTCACCATTGTCAAGTGTCTCACAAGGTTCCTCCATGACCAAGAGGAACAGAACCAATGCTCAATTCCGATGAAAAATTCCCAATTTTGAGGAACAGAAAGCCTAATTAGAGAGACAAGAAATGAGGAATACTTAAAACGGCAAAAAAGAGAATCATTCCTTCCCAAAAGAGAAGATTCCCATGGAACAACACAGAAGAAGCAATAACACAACAACAATGGACTGCTACAAGTTGAATCACAAACACTAAGATGATAACTAAAGATTCAAACTTTTGTAGATACAGACACGCTAAAATAATCTCTGTTGTAAAATCTGAAACTTTCGAGATTGACCCAGAAATGAAATTGAAATAGTGTTCCTTCAAACTAAAGGAACTACCTTTAAAAACAGTAAAAGCTTCTCAAATCTATGAAGATCCAAAGAGATTGAAATAAATAATATAAAAGAGGAAAACTCACCAAAAAGAAGAAATTTTTGCATCCACTAAATCCTGTAAATTGACTTAGTCTCGTAGTGTACGATATTAATCTTCTTGTCAACGTCTTGTAAAAACAAAATCAAAAATTTTAAAAAGATTTATAACGAAGTTTTGTTTATGGCTAAGATTAAACTTCTCGAACCCACCAAGATCACAGCTTTTTCTCTGTCGACCTATCGAAATCGCAGCGCGTGTCCGAGAATTGAGACGGACCCAGTTGAGTTTGACAGTTTATATGTCCTAGTTTGATGAAAATCAATTCGGAAAATAAGAAAATCTGGTAGTCTATTTAATTACATTTATCAAAAAATCGTATAAAATTACGAAAAGTCTACGGTGATGAAGCCGGAGAAAAAGAAAATATCAGAAACAGTGATGTGAATAAAAGGTTAGGTGGAAGATGAAGATGACGAAGTTTCTTCTGACCTAACGATAATTTTGATCTTATCCTTCAAGGGCTAAAACTATTCGCTGTTTAATACACACGAAAACGACGTGCATTTTGTCATCAACTATCATAAACCGCTCTAAAGAAAGTATTCGTGTTATTTCTTGATTAGTTATTCCGTAACCGTCGTCTTTACCGACGGTTATGACTTGTTTCAAACTAATCCGAAAATAATATTTTAAAATATAAATTGTTTTGGTTAAAAATGCGAATATTAAAAAATTTTATTTTTTTTAAAAAGTATCATTTTAT